GATGGAAGAGAATATGGAATCTAGAAATAGACCTACACATATATAGTCAAATAATTGTTTAGAAAGACGTCAAAACAATTACGAGAGCAAACATTTCATCAACAAATGGTGCCAGAAATACTGATTATTTACCTGGGAAAAAAATAAACAGACTTCAACCCCTACACCTATATAATACAACCCCGCTCAAAACAAAATCTTCATGAGTCACAGACTAATTACAGAGCTTTATAAGAAAAGGTGGGAACTTGTCTTCAAGCAAAAAAAGATTTCTTAACAAAAAGCACTACCAATAAGTCTGTAACACTGATAAATTCAAAGTAAAATGTTCTTCTCATCGAAAGACATCATTAAGAAAATAAACAGGCAAGCAACAGGTATAAGGAAATATTCACAATTACTATATCTGATGAAGGATTTATAGTCAGAATGCTTAAAGAATTCCTACAATTCAATAAAAAGACCTATAACATAATTTTTTAAATGGGCCCCAAACTTAGTTACTTTACAAGAGAAGAAATATAAATGTCCATTAAGCCCCTGAAAAAGTGTTTAACATCATTAGGAAAAATTGGCTAAAATGAAATAGATCAACATAATCACAGGCTGGTAAGGAACCACACATTGCTGGTGGAAGGGTAAAACTACTTTGGAAAACTCAATTTCTTAAACGGTCAAACATGCAATTCCACTCCAAAGTATTTATACAAGACAAATGAAAGCATGTGTCCACAAAAACCCTGTACAAAGTTGTATATTCCAGGTTCATTCACAGAAGCTAAAAAGTTTCCTATGTCACACACTCCAGGGTCCTTCAGCACACAAATCCGTACTACTGTCAACCCAGATTTCTACTTAAATATCAGAAGCAATATAAAATGTGGCTTTCAACATATTACTATCAACAATACCATCTTTAGGTCAAAACCTTACACTCCATGAAAAAACACCAAAGCTTGTATACAAGAAATGCAGTTGCTAATTCTGCCCATTTCATATTCTACCAATTCCACTTAAATTCTTTTAAAATAACTTCCTTTCCTAGTCTCCCTATAAAGGAGTCTTGGTAGAATTCTTGAATAACTCAACATCCCTGAAAGGATAAACCCACGTGGAGCCAGTTCCATTTGGCTTCACTTCATCTCAGGTAGTATAATCAAAGCAACTGTTAAACTTTTTTAATTGAAATGCATACCTCCTGGCTTGATGCCTGTGGCTCAAGTGGCTAAGGTGCCAGCCACATACACCTAAGGTGGCAAGTTCAAATCCTCAAATCCAGCCCGGGCCCACCAAACAACAATGACAGCTGCAACCAAAAAAAAAAAAAA